ATCCTCCTAAAACTTCAGGCAGGTCAGGGAAGGACAGAAGCCATGCAGGGCTTCACTGCAGTCATGTTCCCAATAATGATGTTTCCGTCAACAATGGATTTCACTCAACAATGGACCACATATATGGCAGTGGTCCTGTTAAGATCAGTACGACATAGCCTAGGTGCGTGGTAGGCTTGTGTAGGTACACTGTATGATGTTCGCACAAAGACAAAATTGCCGAACGACGCATCCTTAAGCGACGCATTACTCTTTAAGAAACGTGGCAGGTAACTTGAGACAAGAGGTTTGACAGCATAGGTGATTCTGACCATCCTATCGGGCAATTAAGGGGTCATTCTGGATAATTCCAGGCCAAGACCACCCTGGGCTCAGAGCAGAACTGCTCTTACCAAAGTATCAGTCAGGACCCACTGTGAGCCCAGCCCTATACTGTACTGTGATTATCTGCCAACCCTGTGAGATAGGCAGAGCAAATGCTGTTCTTTCCATTTCACAGATTAAGAAACTGAGGCTAAGAGACTGGTCTAAAGTCACACAGCAGTATACAGTGGAACCAACACTTGAACTCAGGCCTTCTTATTCAAAATCCCATGATCTTTCCACTGAGAAGTCAGAGGAGACCAGGTCTATGCTGAGGCAAGTCCTAGGCCCCACTTGGGAGACCCTGGCAGGAGCCAGAGCACACAGCTGGGCCAGCCCAACCCACTGTCTTATTGGAAACAGGCCTGGGGCAGGGCCGCAGCACGGCAGGGAGAAAAATGACAAAACATCGGGCTGGTCTCTGCCTTTGGAGAGCACCCAGTCTGGAGGAGAGTGGAGGTCAGACACACCCCAAATCAGACAGAGGCAGGGCCACATGGAGGCAGGTGCATAGGCCTCTAGCTCCCCAAGCTGGGGACAAAGAAGCCTCTGAGCTGAAGGGAGGAGGTGGCTGACCGCTGGGTCCCAGCAGCATCCATTCCCAAATTCCAACTCGGTACCAGATGACTTTGTACCTGCAGATGTTGCTTTGATGTTGTTCTGTATCTCTAAGCAGTGATTCTGTTTATATTCAATGCCTCCCAGCTAGGCTGTAAGCCCTTTGGGGCAGGGCTCCTTCCAGTTCTTGGATGGCATTCTCCTAGCTATCCTCCATCATTTGTCTTGTCTAGCACAGTGCTCTGCATATAGTAGGCACTCAATAAATGCTCATTTGCCAATAAGTGCCGTTTCTTCCACAGCTTAGAAATGGTCAATACGGTCCAAGGTGCCAAGAGACAGACTGGGGTCTCTGGCATGTCATGAGCTCCCCAGAGCTGCTGTTAGGAATGGTGTAGAGGGGATTTCAATGCTGAATAAGAAGCTCAACCAAGGTGGCATGTGGTGGCAAATTCCCACTGCCAGCCTGGCCAAAATGGGCATCCTTTGTGACCCAAGTGTCACCTTGGAGAGAGAGGGCACCAAGACATGGGCAGGCTGTGTGGCCTCCAGAGAGAGCAAAGAACAGTCCCTTTTGGTCCCCTCATGCTGGCTGTAGCACCGTGTTGGGAAGTCAGGGCAGGGACCTCCAGAGTCTGGGATGACACCTAACACTCCATATGTCCAAAACTGACCCCCTGCTCTTCTCCCCACACCTGCTCCTCCCACAGTCCTCCCATCTCAACCCATAGCAACTCCATCTTTCCAACTGCTCAGGCCAAAGAGCTCGAGTCATCCTCGACTCTTCGTTCTCACCCGCCAGGAGAGCTCCATCAGCGGATCCTGTCAGGTCTGCCTTCACAGGGGATCCAGAATCCCAGCACTGTCACCTGCAACACCACCCCTCAGGTCCGGGCCACCACCATCTCTCTCTGGACAGGCGCCTACCTGTCTCCCTGCTTCCACTCCTGCCCCTCCAGGCTCTTCTCAACACAGCAGCAGAGGGGTCATGTTAAAGACTCTGTCAGACCACACTAGGCCTCTACTCTCTCCAGTGAAGCCTGCAGGCCTTTTGGTGGCACACAAGCTCTGTCCACTTCTGTCACCTCTGTCCTATCTCCTACTCTCCCCCTTGCTCCCTCTGCTGCAGCAACACTGGCTGATCCCTCTGCCTGGAATGTTCTTCCCCCAGGTATGTGCATGGTTCTTTCCCTCTCCTCCTTCAAGTCCTTGCTCAGATGTCACCTTCTCGATAAGACCTACACTGACAACCCATTTAAAATTTCAAAGAAACTCCATTCCTACCCCAGCACACCCAGTCCCCTTTAACATATTCTATTTTTCCATAGCACTTACAGATTCTATCGTACTATATGATTTATGTATGTCCAGTGTTTATTGTTTGTCTCCTTTCACTAGTATATTAGTGTCACAAGGCAGTGACATTCTCTGCTAGCTCATGGCTGTATCCCCAGTGCCTAGAACAGTGCTTGGTACATAGTAAGTGCTTAATAAATCTTTGTGGAAGGAACAAATGACTCTTCCCCAACACTGGGAATATGTGGAGCCCCAGGGGCATCACCTGCTGCCAATTAACCTACCATTTCTGCCCCCAGCCCCCAACTGCTCCCAGGGAATCCAGGGGTCCCTATGTCAGGAGAAGAGGGAAGGGGCTCTCCCGGAGAGATTCTAATGCCACTGCCACAAATGGGGACACCCAGCTCCCAGCCCAGAGAGGTCCCAGTGAAGCATTTCTCTGGGGCTGGCAGGGCAGGGCAAAGACAATTCCAGGACACCGTAGCTCCAGTAGTTTCTTGTGACACCCTAGGGACTGAGTGCCCCTGATGGTTGGAGAGAGATGGAAGGGCCTCAAGCACAGGCCTAGGAAACGTAACCAGCGGCCCCCTCTGAGCAGCCTTGACAGATGGGGTCTCCTTCTTCAGCCACACCAGGCCCATTCCTGACAACCCCAAGAGTCCCATCTCAGGTCACTGTGTGACCCTGGGCAAAGCAGTCACTTCTGAGTCTGGATGCCTCACAGGTAGCTCAGAATTAAGTCACACAGCAGAGGCCAAAGCCCTTGGTTAGCTGTAAAAAATTGGCCTCAAGTCCTCAGGTAGGAGCTTCCCTTGGTGGCCCAGCCTCCTGTGAGCACTGCCAAGTCCTGCCCTCTCCAAGATGATGGAGTTTGCAACCTATGATTCATGAAGACAGTGCCTGGAGAGAGAGGATGAGATGGAAGGTGAAAGGGTGCAGATTGGAGGCAAGTTCCACTGTGAAAGGGCCTGGTCCCCAAAGGCCTCTGGGGTCCTGAGGGTCATTGTTCCAGTCTGGGCCAGGCCCGCCCTGAGCCCTGAGCCCAGATGAAAATCCTGTATACAGCTGCCACGCTCTGCCAGGGGCAGGGCCCCAGGACCCACGGCAGAAAAGACAGACAGACCTCCTGCCTAAAGAGGAGAGACTTGGGGGAGGAGCTGCTCCAGCAGGAAACTGGGAGCAGAGCAGGAACAACAGCGGAGTTTCTTTGGTCCCTGTTTTCTTTGGCTTCTTACCTGCCACGGAGTACAGAGCCCGCTCCTCCAGATCCTTGGCTTTCCTCTGGGCCCCTCCCTTTAGCCATAGCCTGACAGACTGATAGAGGAGCACCTGTTCTCTCCCTCTGCTGCACCCTCCGGGGGCGTAGCTCCACACAGAGCCCTCAGGGGGCTTTTTAAATGATAGTCACAACATGAGGAAACTTTACTGAGCCTTACTCTGTGCAAGGCACTGTGCTAAGTGCCTCCCAAGGACACATCACGGGAGTGGTGGTGGGGTCTTCAGTGTAACTCCTCTCCTGGGATCCTGGGGGTGGGTCCCTGCCCCTCCTCCAAGCCCTGGAGGGCCCTCCAGCCTCATTCCCCACATGCCTAACCTGGGGATGGGAAGAGGGTGGGGTGGGAGGGCTGGTGGAGAACAGCTGGGAGCTCAGAGGGAAGGGGCAAAGACAGGAGGCGGGGGATTGGGAACTGGGAGAAAGTGTCACTCAGCCCAGGGGTGGGAGGACTTGACTTTGGGGGGACTGAAAAAGCCCACATGTAAGAGAGGCAGACATGGAAAATGAGGTAGAGATAGGGAGAAACAAAGTCACAGAAATTGAAGCAGAGGAACGGAGAAAGAGGAGATGGAAACTGAGAGGTGAATAGAGAGACGGAGATAGGGAGGCTAAGGCTAAGACTGTGAAAGGAAGGAAGGAAAAAAACAGGGAAATTGAAAAGGGGGGGGGGCGGGAGAAAGAGAGGGAAAGCCTAAGAGACAGACTGAGCCTGAAATGAGAAAGAGAGAGATTCAGGAAAAGACTGCCAGAGGGAGAAGGACAGGGAGACTGAAGAGAGAGATAAAAAGTGAAAAACAGTGCCGGGGTTTGGAGGAAGAGACAAGGAGAAGGACAGAGGAGAGGCAGAGAGATTGCAAGAGGGAGAGAATTCAAGACTGAGAGTGGGTCTGAAAGAAGAGGAGACTCAGGAGATTGAAAGGAGGAGGAGCAGGAGGAAGAGGAGGAGCAGGACAAGGAAAACGGATAGCCAGCGTGGGGGGGCTTCTGGCAGGGCGGCGGCGAGGCCGAGACCCGGCGTGGAAGGGCAGTGGTGTGCCTGCACCCTCCCGGACCCCCCTCCGCCCCTCCGCCCCTCCGCCACAGTCCCAGGACCCATTCCCTGACCCCAAACAAAACGGAACCCAGGCATGCCCCCTCCCGTACTATGGACAAAGGGAACTCCTAGCCCCCACCTCCCTCGGGGACTGGCTGGGATTCCCTAGAGGGCTGTGCTCCTGGAGGGGCTGCGACAGCTGCCGAGGAGGGGCGCCTCCCGGGGTCTGCCTCCTCTTCCCAGGATTGCCTGGCTACTGGGCGTCGAGGATCGACAAGCGCGAGGCAGGCTGGCACGGAGCCACTTTTCCCAAAACGCCCCCACTCCAACCCCGGAGGCCTGCCTGGCCGGGGCGGGGTAGAGGCCCAGCCCGGCCGCCCGCCCCCGCCACCGGCCGGCTTGGAGCTGAGTGGCGCTGTCCTCAGGGAATCGCATCACTCCAGCTCAACCGGGGGTGAGGCTGGGTCAGGATGGCCAGGTCACAGGAGGAAAAGGAGGAGCTGGACCCGGAGACCGAAGAGAAGAAAAGGGGAAGACCACGGCCGGAGATAAAGGCCCAGAGGAGGCAGACGCCCAGAAGTCGGTAGTACCCGAGAGCCCCGACCCAGCCAAGTCTCCCAGGGAGCCTGGGGGACACAGCGCGGAGGAGAGCGCACGAGCCGCCTGGAGTGCACCATGCGCGGGTCCCCGGCTGCCGGGCCCGTCTACACCGCCGCCTGGGTGGCGTGGTCCAGGCGGGTCCGCGGCTGCCCCGTCGGGGAGGCGGGCGTTGGGCCAGGGGCACGCGGGGCCGGAGACTGCGGCGAGCCCGAGGCTGCGGCGACGTTTCCACTCTGCGTGCTGCGCGGGCCCCCGGACGCGGGAGCCGCCCACTGCCCCCCCGCGCTGGGCGCCCGCCGGGTATATAACGCGCCCCTGCAGGGCCTGACCCAGGCCGCTAGCCACGCAGTGCGCGCCCGGGTGTGCTGCCCAGCAACTGAGAGCCAGCCCGCCGCCCCCTGCGCCGCTGCCGCCTCCCCGACGGGCGCCCCCTGCCGCGGCCGGAGCTGCCCCGCCTCCGAGGCCACCATGAAGAAGGAGGTGTGCTCCGTGGCTTTCTTCAAGGCCGTGTTCGCCGAGTTCCTGGCCACTCTCGTCTTCGTCTTCTTAGGCCTCGGCTCGGCCCTCAAGTGGCCGTCGGCGCTGCCCTCCATCCTGCAGATCTCGCTGGCCTTTGGCCTGGCCATAGGCACCCTGGTCCAGGCCCTGGGGCCCGTGAGCGGAGGCCACATGAACCCCGCCATCACACTGGCCCTCTTTGTGGGCAATCAGATCTCCCTGCTCCGGACTGTCTTCTACGTGGTGGCCCAGCTGATGGGCGCCATTACTGGGGCGGGCATCCTCTATGGGCTGGCACCGCTCAATGCCCGGGGCAATCTGGCAGTCAACGCGGTGAGTGCCCATGGGGCTGGGGGTGGGACTGGGACCCTGGGGCGGGCTCCGGACCAGGCACCCACAGCCCATCTCAAGAATGGGTGCCACAGAGTGGGCCATTAGGTGGCAGCCTTCTAAGCTGAGGAAGATGAATCTCCAGGCTGGCTGTGCCCCTGCCCAGACTCCCTGGTTCATACCCACTCCTCTGCCCTCTCCCCTCCTGCCGCACCGTCCTGGCCTCTCTTGGTGCCTACTGCCCCTCCTTTCTTGCCTGAAACTTCTTCCTTTTCTCGTGTCTCATCTCTGAGTTCTGCCTTCCTCTTGGGCCCCTCACAGTCCCTATCTCCTCCTCAGTGGAGTGGTTTCATGTAACCATCGGAGAGAAATGGGTTGTAATCCTGGCTTCGGGTGACTCTGGCCTCTCTGGGTCTCATTTTTCTCAGCCATTATGTGGGGATGATCATAAGCTACCACAACAGGTGTCAAGGGGATTCCATTTAGAAACCATGTGTGGGATCGCCTAAAGCAGAGCCAGTGCATAGGGTCTCTGCTGAATATTGGTTCCTGCTCCTGGCCCCTTGCTGTCTCCTCCCCAAGCCCCAGATTCAGCCCCCATGTCCCATGCAAACTGGGTTCATTAATCAAACACAGAGGAGGATTTTCTCGGCCATTGTCAAGCCGTGAGTCAGCCCCACCGGAGAGACGGGTTTGAGGTTGGTACTGGCAGCAAGTCAGGCACGGGCGGGAGGCAGGCTGGAGGGTGCAGTAGGCAAACTGGGCAGCTGCCCACAGGAGGGAGGGTAAATGCCAGCTTGTGGGGGTTGGGGACTGGGCAGAACCGTTGACAGGACTGTGTCCAGGAAAAGCTCCCCTCATACTCTGCCCTTTGGCCACTGGCCTGAGCTCCAAGCTTTGTGCACACTGTGAAATAGATAGTCATTTCAGCAAGTGACCTCCCTGATGTGACGTACTCAGGGCTGGGCTTCCAGGTGTCCTTAGAGGCCCAAAGCCCCATCCCCCCAAGCCCCTGGCCATACAGCCAGGAGAAGGCAGAGGTCCAACCCATCCTGCCCTTGCAGCTCAACAACAACACGACGCCAGGCCAGGCCATGGTGGTGGAGCTGATCCTGACCTTCCAGCTGGCGCTCTGCATCTTCTCCTCCACTGACTCCCGCCGCACCAGCCCTGTGGGCTCCCCAGCCCTGTCCGTCGGCCTGTCCGTCACACTGGGCCACCTCGTGGGGGTGAGTGGTGCTGCCACGCGGCTGGGGTTGGGGGGAGCCCCTCGGGGCAGATAATGGGGCCCTGGAGCAGCACCCCTCCCGACCACTGAGTGAAGTTAAGGCCTGGAGTGGGGCTACTGTACTCTGGCCAGACTTGATCCCCCAAAACCTTCTCTAGCCTGAGGAAAGATGGGAGTACGCGGGAGGGAGCTGGGGTGAGGGCAGGAAAGCAAGCCCAAGCTGAGGACAGAGAAGAGAGGAGGGGCGTCGGGACCTGTTGAGGGAGAGGTCACCAGCTTAGGAATCCGGAAACTTGAGTTGGAGCCATGGCTGAGCCCCTAAACTGCTGGGTGACCCTGGGAGAGTCGGGGACCCCGTGGGAGTGGACAAGCACGTTGCCCTCTTCACCGCCTCCCTCCCTATGTCCAGATCTACTTCACCGGCTGCTCCATGAACCCAGCCCGCTCTTTGGGCCCCGCCGTGGTCATGAGGCGGTTCAACTCCGCGCACTGGGTGAGTCTGGGCCCTCCCCTGGCTCCCTGGCAATGAGGGCCTGGAAACCCAGCCACGGCAGCCAAGAGCTAACTGGACTTTCTGGGTGCTGTGGACCCAGAGCTTGAGGGTGGGCTGTGGGAGCAGTGGCTGGAGAGAGAAAAGGACACAAGAGGGGATGGGATGCAGCAAGAGCAAGGGCAGAGGTCGATTTATATGGCCTGAGCCCCTGGGGACTAAGGAAAGGGATCTGTCCCTCCGTGTTGATGTCCTCTGAGGATTTTGTATCTGTCCCTCCGGAGGTCTGTGTATCTGTCCTCTCTGATGTTTTATTTATCTTTCCCTGTTGAGGGGGTTGGGAGAGTCTTCCTTCCTGTGTGTCTGTCCCTCTAGACAATCTGTGCGTCACCTCCTTTGAGAGCTCATAGTCTTTCTCTCCAGAGTCTGTCTCTATCCCTCTGTGGAAGGGAGAGGACTCTCTGTTCGTCTCTCTGAGGAGGTGCATGTCTGTTCCCTCTGAAGGTTCATTTGTCTCTCTTTAGGGTAGGGTTGGAGGAGCTCTGTCCCTCTGGGGATCTGTGTGTCTCCTTTGAGGATCTGGGTGTCTGTGCTCCATGTCCCTGTCATTGGGGAGTGGGGTGTCAGTATGTCTGTCCCTGAGGTGGGAGGAAGTCTTCCCCTCTGGAGGTCTGGAAGTCTGTATGTCCATCTCCTCTGAGGGTCCATGGGTCTGTCCTCTGGAGGGGGGAGGTCTTGATCTCTGAGGCCTGGGGCTCAGCCCCCTGACGCTGCTCTGCCTCCACCAGGTCTTCTGGGTGGGGCCCATCCTGGGGGCAGCCCTGGCTGCCATCCTCTACTTCTACCTGCTCTTCCCCAACTCCCTGAGCCTGAGTGATCGTGTGGCCGTCATCAAGGGCACCTACGAGCCTGAGGAGGATTGGGAGGAGCAGCGGGAGGAGCGGAAGAAGACCATGGAGCTGACCGCTCACTGACAGTGTCAGGCTGGGGCCAGCTCCTCAGCTCCCGAACCGCACGGGAAAAAAGAAAAAAATATGACAGCAAAGCTTCCTTCCCCCACAGCGGGGTCCTCTGGGCCGGGGAGGAGGTGCTGGTTCCCCAGGCTGCACAGTTAGAGATGGGAGCAGGAACCCATGATGGGACTCTTGGGGTGGGAGCCAGGGGCTGGGCCCTGGTGGGGAGGGGGTCTCTCTGGGACAGGGCAGACTGTTGCCCTGAGGTCAGACCTCAGAGATTGTGAACCCAAGCCGGGAAGGAGTGGCCTGCAGCCTGAATCCCCCAACCCTTCCCAGTCCCTCCTCAAGATCCAAAGGGATCCCAGCCCCTAAGACAGGAGAGGCTGACCCTCCCTAGAGCTCCTTAGGAGGGAGACTGGTTCATTAACTGCTGCCTTATTTATTTCTGGTCAAGGATGCTTGGAGTAGGGCTGCTGGTGTTTGGGGTGGAGGCTTACCCAATAAACCACTGACATTCATGATCGGCCTCATCTCTCCCCAGAAGCCTCTCCTTGGGACACCCCAGCACATCACTTCTCCTCTTTGTCATCCCGCACCCTCCCCCACAGGCTCCACAGTCCTCTGTGGAAAGAAAGGGAAGCTGAGGCCAGGGGAGACCTAGAGAGTCAGAGATGGGGGTGGGGGGAGAGAGAGGAGACCAAATATAGACATAGAGCTAGAGGTTAGGAGGGGGCAGTGGGAGCAGAGAAGGAGGGATCCTCACTGAGTCACTTGCCTGCTCTCCCCTCCCACCTCAGCTATGTCAAGTCCCTGCCACTTGAGGAGGGCCTGACACCAGTGCCCGGGTGTGCCAGGCAGGGTGGAGGTGAGGTGAACCAGCTAGTAGCCCCTTGAGATGCCAAGGGGGTGACCAGCCAGGTCTGTCATCAGGGAGGAGGCACAGCCCTGGAGGTCCCTCTCTGCACTGCGATGTTCCAGAAAGATGACATGTTGGGATCCTGTGCTCAGAAGGAGCAACCCCCTGCCCCCTACCCCACACACACACCACCCCACACACACACATCTCCAGAAGCCACACCTGGCCCAGCGGCCCAGGTCTTTTCCGGGTCTCCTCTCCCCTGCCTCTGCCGGCCAGTGTTCCGCCATCTTCCCCTCTGGGCCTGCAGCTCTGCCTTCACCTGCGCTTGTCCCCTTGCTGCTGACGCTCCTTGGGAAACCTCCTTAACTAGCCAAGCCCCCATCCCTTAAGCTTAAGCTATAAGATGAGGATAGAAAATGCTTCCCTCACAGGGTTGTCGTGGGGATCCGAGATGAGAGTTTGATTCCTGGGACCAGCCTGCTCTCTGTGGGGAAAAGGGTGGAAGTCATGTGGATGAGCAGCTCAGGACACAGCCCCGTGTCATAGTTAAGGAGTCTGGCTTGGAGCTGGAGAACCTGAGTTCAAATCTTGCTGCACAACTTTGGGTAACATAAGTTCCTGAGCTTTACTTACCTCATCTGTAAAACGGGGATACTTGTACCCATCTCATGGGTTGTGAGGATAAACTGAGACAGTGGATGGAAGTAAAACCCTTGTGCAAACAGGGCCAGGTGCCTCAGAGTGAGTGCTCAATAAACTAATAGTGTGAGAAAAAAACCAGCGTGCACACATCTGGGACCCCAGCCACACCCTAGTTCTGGGCGTCTGCTCTCCTGAGAGTGTTTGAACCTGAGGCCCCCCTTCTCCCTAGTATGGGAACCTCTCCTGGTGGTCTTAAGTTTTACCTCAGAAGAGGAGGGGTCGGGAGGGCCAGGAGATGGACTGAGAAGGGGTGGGAGAAGCTATCCACCCTGGGGGGCAAGGGTCAGCCCCAGGGGACACAGGTGAGGAGGGGCAGACTGCCTAGCCCTCCCCCAGACTCGAGTCTAGTATCTGTAAATGGGAGCTGCAACTGCCCCTGCCCTGCACGCCCCGTCGTCTTACAGGGAACCCCAAAGGGCAGCGTGTGTGAGACCCTCAGTGCAGGAGCAGGCCCCCGCCCGCGCCTCCGTCCCTCTGCCGCCAGTGCCCACTCCGACCAGCAGGGGGGGACCTCGTCCGCCGAATCCACCGCTGCTGCGCTTCCTCTTCCCCAAGTCCTGGGTCTGGGCTCCAGCCAGAGGGGGCGCGGGGGGTGGAGGACACGAGGAGTCTCGCAGGCCAGCTACCCCCAGTCCACCCCCACCCCACACTATCCGGGAGGGCGTACAGAAAAGACCTCAGTCTCCAGAAGACTCAGGTACAAGCACAGCCATGACTGGAAGCCTGGTCTCTCCCTCCATCCAGCCCAGCAACTTGCGTTCCTTTCTCTGACGGGCCCCGAGGGTGAACTGGGGCCTATGAGAGACAGACCCTCAAGGGTGGGTGGGCGCCCAGGCCGAGGGAGTTACAGGCCCGGCCAGAGGGCGAGGGTCCGCCTCGGGCTTTGGGCTGACAGGTCGGGGCTGTTGGGCCAGCAGAGGGCGCTGTGCTCCTTGGTGTCTGAGCTTCACGCGTTCCTCAGTCTGGGCTCACAAAGACCTGCGCGCCCAGGAGCACGGACACACACGACCCCCGCACACCTACACCGACCTTCACGTGTACCCGAGGGGCTGCGTCTTCCCGGCATAGGCTGCTCCCTCCGTGTGTGTGGAGAGCCACGTTCTCTCTCAAAGGGCTGCTAGGGAGCAGACCTAGGAGCCTGGCTCCATGCACTCTCCGAGAGGCACCGGTGCGTGTCATAACCACGCATACACATGCTCAGTCGCCTCTCTGACCCTCTGCTCCACCTGAAGACGGAACCCAGGAAGCGCTTTGATTGTTCCATGGGAGGCTTCCTCCTCCCCCTCTCCCCCTCTGCCCAGGGGCTGCCAGTTTTTACCACATGATGGAGAGATGGAGGAGGACTGGGGTGAAGGCGGGGAATAGACGGAGGGTTGCCTGTCTAGATGGATGGACGGGAAGAGGGTTGCTGGGAGGGTCAGCTCTCTCAGCCCGAGCTCATATTGCCCCTGGTGCACATGCACATGCTCACACACACACCTCCTCATGGAGATGCCCACCCCAGTAGTCTGGGGAGGCCAGAGACAGGCCTTTGGGAGGTTACAAGCACACAGCCACCTGACAGGCAGCTCTAGGCAGCCAGGTGTGGGGGCCTTGGCAAAAGGCCTCTGAGCTGAGTGACCTCAAAGTGTGGCACTAGAGCCTAGGACTGCTGGGTCCAGGGGAGATTAGTGGCTGGAGTTTGAGCAAGCCCTGGCTAATGCCCACCTGGCCTCAGGGGGTAAAGGACATTGTCCCATGCCAGGCAGGGCCCCCAGGACGCTCTGCTCCAGGCCTGCTGGAGACAAAGGCTGCCACTGCACTTAATGGTCTCAGCCTCCAGGGCCCAGAGCAGGGGCCGCCTTAATGGTCTCAGCCTCCAGGGCCCAGAGCAGGGGCCGCAAGTGCTGCTTGTCCTAGAGGTGCCACAGCGACTAGGACCCTTCCCGCCCCAGCCCAGTCCTCACAGCTATCTCACTGGAGAGGGGAGGGGAGTGCCAATTCTAACAGCCAACATTTTCTGACTTGGAGACACTCTCCTAGGTATCAGCACATGTACTCTAACGACACATGGGGAGGTGGGAATTATCATCTTCATTTTATAAGTGGGGAAACTGAGGCCGCAGAAGTTAAGCGCTGGTTAGGGGAACAGTATATACATGGCAACGTTCAAATGCTTTCCCTTGTACTGTCTGATCAAAGGCTCTCAACAGAGAGGCATCACTGCCGTTCAGTGCCTGGTGCACAGGTGCAGAAACCGAGGCTAGGTCAGATGTAGGGACTGGTAAGTATCTGTCCCAAAGCGCTCCATGGCCCTGTCTGAGGGGAGAAAAGGAGATGCCCTTGAGGTTCCCTGGGACAACCCCTAGGCAGGGAACCCACCGTGCCAGGGAGGAATGTCACACACACTGCCCCCACAGCCACAGTCCTTCATTCCTTGAGCATCTATTGAAAGACTCCTCTATGCCAGGCAAGCATGGGAGTCTGTGCTGGAACAGTGGAGGCACTGAGGGGGCCGAAGCCAGAAGTAGCCACTGGCTTTGCTCAAACCCAACTTCTCTACGAAGCTTGCCCTGATTCTGCTGAAGAGGACAATCAGGACAGGCTCCACGGAGGAACTGGACTTGAGCAAAGTCTCGAAAGAGAGACAAAGAGGAAAGGCATTCCAAACCCGTGGTCCTTCCACTACTCCATGATTACCCGGGCAGGTTATAAAGAGGAAGCCGGGAGAGAGAGAAGAGAAAAGCACAGCTGAGACGGGATGGCCAAGAGATGGCCCCAGTCGCTCAAAGAGCACAGGGACGGGCCCCCGACTTAGACACAGGAGAGGGCTGCCTCTTCTTCAGGGCCAGAGTGAAGCTGGTGAGGGCATGGGGCAGCTGCAGGTGAGTTTGCGCCTGGGGAAGAAGGATGGGAAGACGTCTTGCCTGCTAGTTTCGCTTTCTAGCTGGAACAGGAGGCAAGTTGATTGGCTGGAAGAAAACCAGAGTGAGTAGGGTACTTGCAGAGAGTGGGGAAGGTTTGAAGTAGGCCTTAGAAACTGGGGAGAGAGCCGACTAGGGTGGTGTAAGGATTGCTGAGCAGAGCTGCCACCCCTGCTGGGGCCAGACACCATGGACTTGTCATGGCAGCAGTCTACACGGCTGGGCGAGTTTCTCCAGCAGTGCTCAGCAGCACAGATGGGGGGCAGAGGGGTGTGGAGGAGAATGAGAATGGAGAGATGTGGGGAGTGGGGTGGAGAGAAGAGGGAGCTGGGACAGGGGCACTGAGGTGAGATGCTGGGGGATCTAGCTGGAGAGGGAAGGGTGAAGCCAGGGCAGCTGGAAGAACTGAAAGGGGATGCGGAAGGGATTTTACTGGGACTGAGACAGGGGAGAGTGGATGCACAGAGCCTGTGATCAGAGCTGGGATGTTTCACTTGAAGATTTCAGAGGGCCCAGTCCCAGGTGAGGGCGAGTACAAGGCTGTAAGAATAGCCGGCTGAAATGAAGCAGATATGAAAATCACCTGCCTCCAGGAGGTCAAGAAAGTTTTATTCACTCATTCATTCATTCAACAGATATTTATTGAGCACCTACTATGGCCGATTCCTGTGCAAAACACTACATGTAGGAGTGAACAAAACTTGGTTCCTGCCTCCTAAGGGGCTCACCACCTCATTGAGGGAGACACATTAACACCATGACAACACCCTATGGTGACTGTAGTACGAAAATTCCCAGGTATGGTGGGAGCACGCAGGGCGCCTCCCCCAGAAAAAGAGGAGGTGACATCAAAGCTGAGCCTTAGAAATGGGTTAGGAGTTACCCCAGCAAAGGATGTGGGAAAGGCTTTCCAAGGAGAGGAGAGGGCATCCTCCAAGGAGAGACCAGCATGGAGTGTTCCAGAACCACTGGCCATTTGGTGAGGCCAGAGGGTAAAGGACAAGGCAAGGACTGGGGAGAGGAGAGAGAAGAGGAACAGGATCCCAGAGGGCCAGGCATGGAGCTCACAGAGGGAATGGGAGCCTTTGAAGGGATTTTAGCGGAGGAGCAGCAGGATCAGATTTGCATTTGAGAAAGATCACTGGGCTGCAGTGTGGATAATTGATTGGAGCGGAGCAAGGGAGCAGACGGAGAGAATGGTTAAAGGCTGCAGGGCAGCAGGGGTGGCAAGAAGAGGGCACAGTCAAGAAATAGTTAGGATTCAAAATCAGCAGGACTTGATGCCCTTCTTGGATGGGGGCAGGAAGGAGAGAAGGGTCAAGGATGCTTCCCAGGTGCCATCAACTGAGCTGGAGAAAACAGGAGGAGTGCGTTTGGAGAACTGGGGAGAGATGAGGATCTCATTTTGAGACAGGTTGTGTTTGAGGAGCCTGAGGACAAACAGGGGACATCCACTGGGCAGGGAGATATGGCCAGGGGTGAGGTCAGGGCACCCAGATGTGGTTAAGAAGTGAAGACAGTTATTTTAACAGCAAGACAGGTTCTTCTTAGGAAGGGAACACCTTTGTTTGAGAAAATACCTTGATAAGCGGCTGGGAATAAAAGGTCAGAATCTAGGGCGAGGGTGCCTCTAGGGCAGCAGAGCCACAAAAATGGTTAAGCTGCCCTGTGTGAGACGTTTGAGGAATTGTTTTGGCCCTAGAGAAGGAGGAGAGGAGAGACTCGAGGGGGGAGGGACAGAGAACAGAGGGGGAGGACAAGGGGAAGTGAGTGAAGGACCAGTGGAAATTCCCAGCTGGCAGAGGTGCCCACTGCCATGTGTTCTGTCTGATTAGCTGTGGAATAAACCCCTCCTCCATTTCCCCCTCTGCACCCACATAGGCCCATGTCCTCAGTAAAGCTGACTCTATCACATCTGCTTTCTGTGAGTGGGGTTTTAGGTGGGAATGGAGGAAAGGGCTTATTTCACATCTGAGCTTATGGGCCACAGAAGAGTAGAGCCCATTTGGAGGCAGAGCCTGCAGACAGAGGGACCAGGAGCCCCCCAAGAATGCACAGGACCCTCTGAAGCAGGCCTTGGACTTGGGGATCTGAATGATCTTGCTCTGTCTAAGCTGACATGGGGGATGTGAGCACACTGGAATGCCACGCCCACCACTGCTCCTGCACCTGCGGCCCCCAGGCTGGGCCTCTGCCCACAGCAGAGTTAGGCCTGTCCAGCTTGGAAACTCCGGAGGTTCCAGCTCAGCGGCTGGGGACCGCCTCCCTCCCCCAGCTGTCAGGTGAGCTCAGGGTGCAACGGGCATGTGAGCACCACCCCTCATGCCACCCCAACACCTCCCACCCACCCAGACACACATAACCCTGTCACCCCACTCCCAGCACAGTCCTTGGTGGAGGAACTGCAGGTGGGAGCTAGAGAAGCCTCTAGGCAGTGAGACAGGCAGAGCAGGCCAGAGACGAGAGACCAGAGGAGACAGAGGAGATCAGAAGCAAGAGAAACAGAGAGCAAAGGAGGCAACAGCCAGGCACCAGGACCTGGACACAATGGAGTCGGGCAGACACTGCTTGGCCAAGACGCTGGTGTGCCACCTCTGGTCGGCCATCAGCAAGGCGCTGTTCGCTGAGTTCCTGGCCACAGGGCTGTACGTGTTCTTTGGCGTGGGCTCGGCTCTGCGCTGGCCCTCAACGCTTCCCTCTGTGCTGCAGATCGCCATCACCATCAACATGGCAACGGCCATGGTTGTGCAAGTCACCTGGAAGGCCAGTGGGGCCCACGTCAACCCCGCTGTGACGCTGGCCTTCCTTGTGGCCTCCCAAATCTCCCTGCCCCGTGCTGTGGCCTATGTGGCCGCCCAGCTGGCAGGGGCCACAGTGGGGGCCGCTCTGCTTTACGGGGTCACGCCAGGGCATATCCGAGAGACCCTTGGGGTCAATGTGGTAAGTGCGGGGAGGGGCATCTGGCAGGACCAGGAGGGGGTATCCAAACAGGTGGTAAGGGTGGAGTGCCAGGCCCGAGGAGAGGGGACAGTGAGGTAACAACTTGGCCACATGCTCCACACCTGCTCTAGGCTGGGCCCTGGGCCCCAGGGTAACCAGACTGTGGCCTTAGGGCAGGAGGAGCAGGAATGGAACTAGGACCTCATGCGAGGACCAGGTGAGTCAGGGAGGAGCCACACCAAGGAGCAGGAGTCGGAGAAGGTCCAGGCATTTAAGGGTCATGGTAGCCAGGGAGGGCTGGGGCTGTGAGTAGTGGCAGGGACCCTGCACACACTTCATCTTCTCCCCGTGTTCCTCCCTCCCCAGCACCCTGAGGCCTGTCTCACTCCCCCCCGCCCCTCTCCGCAGATTCCCCTAATCGTCTATGTTCCACCTACTTCCTCAAATCTCCTCCTTCCACTGCCACCCGCGGTCTCCTCCCGCTGCTCGCAAGCATGCACCCCAGCTTCTCTGAGCCTTTCCTTTCCCGCCAGTCCTGTGCCCCTGCCTCCTCTCTGAACCCTTGGCCTCAACCAACCAGGGAGGTAGGAGGAGCACCACTCACTTCTGCAGGGAGCAAGTGGGCTGACCTGAACCCCACCACACAGCTCTCCCTGCTCTGTCATCTCCTTAAGTCCTGGAACTGGCTGTGGTGAGGTGTCACCCCCTTACAGTGAGGAAATGAGGCCCAGGGGGTCACCTTCCCTTGGCAGAACCTGCATTGGCTCCAGTGTAACCCCCTTGCCCAGGTCCGGAACAGCGTCTCGACCGGCCAAGCGGTGGCAGTGGAGGTAGTTCTGACCCTGCAGATGGTGCTCTGTGTCTTTGCTTCCACTGACAGCCGTCAGGCCTCAGGCTCCCCAGCCGCCATGATTGGAGTCTCTATGGCAGTGGGCCACCTCATTGGGGTAAGAGGCAAACAGGATACTGTGCAGGTACACTCACTGGTCTCTCCCTGGGGAGGCTGCAGGGGCCCTGAAGGCTAGGAATTATCTCCCTTGGGGCTAAGGCTATGCCCCACACTCCAGGCCCAGGATATGGTGCTGTGGAGGCTAAGGCTGGGGCCAGGGCTCTGAGCCAGGGCAGAGGGTGCTGTCCCATCCCAGGCCTGCCTTAATCTTCCTCACACCCTGAACCAGCACTCGTTCCCCAGATCTACTTCACCGGCTGCTCCATGAACCCAGCCCGCTCCTTCGGTCCTGCGGTCATCGTGGGGAAGTTCACAGTCCACTGGGTGAGACCCTCTGCTGACAGCCCCGAGGAAGGGAGAGGCCCAAGTAGGGGATGGGGACTGCGGCTTTTACCAGTGGTGGGGAGACAAGTCCCCCTACCACAGACCATCTGACCCCCAATGGAGGTTTCCCTAAGCTCAGAAGACCAGGGAGAGTATCCTGGCTGGTACTTCCTTTCTCTGCAGCTTCAATAGCCCAGGAGACCAGTGGACTGACCAGGGCGGGAGTTGCAGCCTTGGCCCAGGCCTCAAGTCCTGGCTGTTTCCTAATTCACTTTCTCCAGCTGGACCAATTTCCAAACTTGGATAAAGAAAAAGACAAACAGAAATAGACACACGCCAGCAGAGACAGGAAGAACACTAGCCAGGGCTCCTGGCTGGAACAGGGGAGGCAAGAGGAGAGAGGCAGGAGTGGTGAGGAGACTGGGCCTGCCCTGTGGGAGGCAAAGTCCCCCTACCTGCCTGACCTCGGGGGGCAGGACACGTGCTTCTCAAATTCGCCACCTTGTAGGCAGCGCGAGGGTTCCTGGGAGACCAAGTCCAACACTAAGGAACCAGACAGGGGTCCCAAAGCCACCTTATGACTCTGATAGCTCACGAGCAGGGTGCCCACTTCTCTTTGCCTCCTCAGATCTTCTGGGTGGGACCCCTGACGGGGGCTGTCCTGGCTTCGCTGATCTACAACTTTATCCTGTTCCCTGACACCAAGACCCTGACCCAGCGACTGGCCATCCTCAAGGGCACCACAGAGGTGGAGACAGCGGTAGGGGTAGAGCCCCAGAAGAAAGAATCTGAGCCCAGTTCAGGGGACATTGAAATGGAGAGTGTGGGTCAGATAGCATAGAACTGGGCCCCCACCCTCAGGCTTCTGAGAGGAGCCCTGAAGGTGGCAGCATGATTTGTATGACCCAACTTCAGGTTTCGGGGGGGGGGCGTGGGGGTGCACAGGACAGACAAGGGGGGTGTCCTGCTCACAAGAGGGGATGGGGAGGCTTGGCCTTGTGTCCTGACAAGGTGGCCGGGGGTTGCCAGTCCCTATCCCTGGTGTTACATTTCTAGACAGTAAGAATCTGTGGAGCAAATCTGTTCAGGTTCCTCCTCCTCCGTCTCTTAATGGGAGAGAGCAGAGGGAGGCAGGGGAATTCATGATTGCCCTCCCCTTCTCTCATCCATCTGGACCCCAGTGCGGGTCCTGGGCCTCCAGATCTCCATGTCTTGGAGAAAAGGGAATTGGAGCCCAGACAGCCACTCTGCTTAGAGAGCGAGAGCTATAGGGACTGACCTCAGGGAACCCCAACTTCTCACCTGAACCCTGGGGAGAAGGGGCCAGACTTCCCAGAAGAATCAGGCCTTGGGATGGCCTCTGAGCTCCTATGGCTCCCCCTTCAGACTGGGGGCTTCCTGAGGACAGAGATTGCCTTCCCTGTAGATCTTCATTCCTCACTCCTCCAAATGCTCAGGAGAGGACCCCTCCTTGGGAAGAACTGACCAGAGAGGAACCTTTCCTCGGGCCGGCAGAGGGGCAGGCTATAGGCTAGGGAAGTTTGGGCCAGAAAGGCCTTTCCCAGGGTGGGCTGTCCCCAGGTGTTTGCCTGCCTTCTCCCCCACAGACCCATTCACAGGAACAATCCTGAGAGAGAACTCCCCATCCCAGCCCTCAGTCCACGACCTAGGCCAGAAGCCGTCTCCAGCCTCATTCTCAGCTCTGCCAGGATCCCCAAAAAGCTGTTGAATAAGTCCCAAGGATGGTAGAAACTTGGGTATGACCCAGGGACCCAAGAGTCACAGTTCAGTGCCTCTGAGGGACTGCCAGAGTCTCAACTGGTTTGTTAATATTTACAAGCTGCTATAAATCTACTCTGCCCAGGACTGGGTGTCCTATCTGGATCTCAGCTTCCCAGCTGTAAAATGGGCACAATCCTCTCCCAGAGACTGCTGTGAAAACAAACAAAAGATTGGAAAATGTTTTTGGAAGTTAAAATGCTAGAAAAACAAATCCAATAAATGATGATTATTGTTGCTGTTACTGTCATTATCGGGTTTGAATACAATTGCTGTTGGTAATGGGAGGGAGGAGGGAAGAAGGGAGAGAGGGAGATGATTGAGAGGGAGGGAAAAGAGAGGAGGATGTTCTCATTTCATCTGCTCCACCCACTTACTAGAGGCCCTGCCTCCTCTCCTGGCTCTACTGACCTGGGAGCTCTGTGAATATGTGTGGAGGGGGGGTTGGGAAGGGACCCGAGAATGAAGAGACAAGCCAATAAAAGTCAGTTCTTCTCATCTCTATGGCGCCCATCACCATGGTACCCTGAAATGCAGCAACCGAATCCATAAAAAAGATAGGTCCTTTTCCATGATGTCTCTAAAGGGGCTGGGGATGGGGGAGGGGCTATCAAAGTCTTCCAAGGGCAGGATGACAGGGCCCAGCCTGTGACCAGTGCAGGAGCTGAGTCTCCAGTGCTCGTGGTCACAGCAGCCATGCTCAGTGTCCTATAATATTGTCAGCACAGAGTACTAGTCACATCTCTCCAAGCTGGGCCCCACTCATCCATCTTCACAATCTCTCAGAGCCCAGGGCTTCCTGTGCCCTTTTACGAGCAGGGACAGCTGGATGTATGTGTGTGTGTGTGTATGAAGGATGTGATTGACTTGCTAAAGGTCACCTAGCTCAGTACCACAGCCCCCTAAGGTCTCCCCAGCTCCCAGCTTAGAATTTTCCAAAATAGAGCTCCAGGGGGGCTGCGACAAGCTGCAGCCAGAGGAAGGAAGTGAGCAGGAACTAGAAGGTTGAGGAGGGCAGGGGGTGGAGCTCCTGCAGTAGGCTCTTAAGCTCCTAGACAAATCATCTCTGTGTCCCCAAGCCAAGCACACACTGGGTGCTCAATAAAAGTTTGATGAATGAATGACTGGGGAGGGAGGGGAGGCAGTAATTGATCAAGAGGGAAATTCAGGAGCTACAGCTCCAAATGAGCCAAGATGACAGCAGCTGAGGAGCCTATGCTTGTGGGTGGAAGTAGCCGGGACGAGGGTGCCCAGCCAGCCACATTTGAGCCCCCACCCACTACTCCAGACTGTGTAACCTCTGTCCCAGGACCTTCCAGGACCAGGAGGGGAAGGGCGATTGCCTGAGGAGAATGCTGGGGGCTATTTTCACAAGCAGTTCTTTAAAGCTGTGCTCTGTCCCAATAGACTAGAGCAAGGGGACATGAGCTTCATGATAAGTGAGGAATTAGGTTAGAATCTGAAGAGCATCCAAAGTTAGACACAGGAATGAGTAACCAAAGGTTAGCTTCTCCTTCTCTGGAGCCCTTTAATAGGACAGCTGGCCATCTGTCTGGAGGAGGGAAGGGCTGGCCTTCTGGGAGCCAAATCTCAGCGTTTCCCGCCAGGGGCAGTGGGCTTCACAGTCACAGCCCCTGTACCTGGGGGGTATAGGGGGTGGTGGGCGGGCGCATGGGGAGGACAGAGACCCAACCAGGCAGACCCTTGGTGTGCACTCCCTTCCTCCCGTTTGTCAGGGGAAGTTTTTAATTAATGGTGTGTAATCTGATCTGGCCCTTCTCCCTGCTGAGCACTGCCTTCAATCAGCAGAGCCATCTGCAATTGCAATTCATAATTCTCCCGAAAGGGAGGGGGACTCAGGACGGGTGCCTGGGTGATTAATACAATTAGCCTTTTATGTTGATGATTGTCTTAGCAGGAGCAGATGATGCCAGCGCAGAGCCTAGGCTGTCGCTTACCCATTGGCTGGCAGGAAGCCCCTCTCTGCTTCCCACCCCCACTGCCACCTCCGGGTGTAAAGAGGACAAGTCTAATCTGGGACCACACTGTGCAAGGGGGAGAGACCACGAAGGGCTCTGGGACACATTTGGGCTCTGTGGACTGAGGGGAGAGGAGGAGCAAGACCGTGATCCAGAGACTTGCACCTTCCAAGGAAAATCACTGTGACCTAAAGGATTCTGTGCACCAAGGTTAAATAAGACAGAGGCCACATGGAGGTAGAATAGCAGTTGAAAGGGTTTAAAGAGTTTATACACAGTCTCAGGCACTTACTGGTCGTGTGAACTTGAGCAAGTTACTTAAGGATCCTGAACCTTACTTTCTTCACCTGGAAAATGGGGTCTATTCGCAAGGGGCTTGAAGAACTACATGGGATGTGTGTGTTTAGCGCTGTGCCTGGCACAGTCTGCTCTCCATCGGGGGCCGCTCTTTTGCCCATCCTCATGGTAGAATGCCATTCTCTCTGCCAATGAGCTCAGCTGCTTCCCCTGCAGTTTCTAACGTGGCCAGGCTCTTACTAAAGAAGGGATCGCTTCCTCCCCATACCCCAGGCTTAGCTTGAGCAAAGGAGAGAGAGAGTGTGAGTGTGCGTGTTGAGGGAGGAGGATCCCAGAGGAAAGAGGAGTCAAGAATCCAACTGGAGGAAGAGATGAGGACCTCCTCGGAACACAGAAGTGGAACGTTGCAGTGATCATGGCTGGGAGCTGGTTGGGGGGAGATTCGGGGATGAGGCTAAGGAGGCTGGGTGGGTATAAAGGGGTGAAAAGAAGCAGGGCTTTGAGCATCTGGAATTTCATATGAAAGCTACATAAACAAAAGGGGAGCAGCCATCGAAGCTGAGGGTTTAAGAGGTAGCACAGATCAAAATCTGTGACCTCTGATCTGTAATGAGGTCAAGTGGTTTGGAACAAGCTGATTGGGGTTTTGAAGGGAGACTCCGCTGGGTCAGGAGACGGTATCACCTCCGTCCCTCTGGGCCCATGGCACTGTTCTCCATGACCCGGCGCAGCGTGAGAAACGAGCTCCCTGTCCAGGGAGATGTTAACCTACAGCCAGGCCAGGCTGGGCAATGTCAGGGGGAAGAGAGGGAAGGAAGGAGGGAGGCAAGAAGTTAAGGGCTAATCAAGACGAAGCAGCCGGCCAAGCAGCGGCCACTGGGGCAGCTGGGGCAGGGGGTCCGCAGCTGAAGAGGGGGTCTGCAGAGAAGTGATTACAGATCTCGGCGGAGATCTGTAATCACTTCTCAGGGAGGGGCAGCCACACTGAGGAGCGGTCACATATTCAGTAAAAGCTGCAGAGAGGCCTGGTCAGAGAGGGCGGCTTGTGAGAGGGAGGAGTCCAACAGCACTGGTTAATAGGCTGCAGTTGATGGGCAGAAAAGGGGGAAATGGAAAACTCTTTCCGAACTCTGAGTCAGTCAGATAAAGGGGCAGTTATTGCCAGAGCTGGGGCTGGAGGAGGCCAGAGACAGAGGCAGGGACCAGCAAGTCCACCTCACCTCCAAGGACAGGTGGAACAAGGCCCAGCCAGGCCAGGCCCAGCCCACGGTCAGAGGCCAGGACAGCAGGCGGGGGTGTCCAGTTCTGAAGCACCAGGCTGGAGGGGCTTCCTCGATGGCCCGGAATACGCTTCCTTGTTGATTCTGAGATCCAGCATTAATGTCACCACCTCCGAGGCTCTCTGAAGCCTCCAGCTCCCTCCCTCCTCACAGCTCCCCGCACTCTGCACCCACCCGTCCTGGCACTGAACACTTTGCTCCACCTCTCTCTCCCTGAACAGGAAGACCTTCTCAAACAAAATTATGCTTTTAGTCTACTTCTCATCTCAGGGCAGTAGGTTCCTTAACTTGACTATCTGTCCTTTTTCTGTTGGTCCCCAAACCATGGCCTTCCAGTTTCAAGGAAAGACCTCCTCTCGTATTGTGGATTTGGTGAGCAAATTGGACAAAGGATTGTATTGAACACTCCGACTGCCTGCCCAGAGTCTCTAACACTTCTAATCTCTCTTATGTGTTAAGCGCCCGAATGTCTTAGCACCACACCGTGATTTCAGAACTCCACCAGGGCTATTATTTTTTATTATTTTGGTCATAGCCTCACTCACTCACAATGGCTTTTTTCCCCCTTCTCAGACTCGGAGGTCACATGTAACGGCTCTGGGGGGTCATGACTGGGACAGATTTCGATCCGATCCTACACATCGCTTGTCTGCTTCTTTGTGCCCCATGTCCTAGGGCTGAGCTTTGCTTGTCCTGCACCGCAGCTTCCCTCAGACATGGGGGAACCCCCTGCTTTCCTCTCCAACCACAGATCAGGAGCAGGTTCCCTGGCCTCCACATCTGGCCTAGCCAACAGCCTATCTCCCACAAACAGCTAACACTCCCAACCCAAATAACGTTGATAATAAGATGCACCGCTATTTTATGAGCTACCAAGAAAGAAAAAACACTGCATTACATATTGTAAGATGCCATTGATTATAAGATATTCCAGTTATCAGAGGTGTTAAAATATATTTTTAAGCACATCTTATGATCAAGGAAATGATCATTTCTCCTTCAAATCTTGGTTCTTTAAATGAGATTTTAAAGAAAGGGGGAATGGAAGGCCAAAGTGGGGACCACAATGGAGGGTCTCAAGTCTTCTCCTTCCCCTAAGGGGAATGGATACCATTGCCCTCATAGGCTGTCAACTCCTCTGCACATTTGTTCCTATTCCAGCTTTGAAATACCCAGGCCACCCCTCACAGTGAACATCTCCTCGCCCTCAGTGCCCGAGAGTCCACTGAAGAGAACCTCACTCTTTGCACAAAGGAGGCAAAACAAAAGACAAACAGTGCCAAGCCAGGACGACCATTTTTGAGGAGATAATCGCCTAGCACTCCAAGGCCATTTATCCAACCACTTCCCACCCTACCGGGTTATCTTCCCAGAGCCTCCAGGCCAGTGCCAGGAGAAGATGCCGAGATTAGTCATTTCCTCCTAATCGGGCTAAGACAGCTCCCTTAAACTGCCAACTGCAGGCAGTTCCCGTTAAAGCAAAGCAGCTGGAAAGGGCTTAGCCCTTTAATGCCAGCAGCTGTATCTCCACAGTGCGGCTGCTCCACCGAGGGGCTGGACTCTGGCCAGAAGCACCAGGCGTTTAGCCCCAGTCAACGTATATTAACCTAGGGGGAGAGAGCAGCCAGCTCCTTGGGAGGAGGGGAGGCGGTTCCCTTAAGCACCTCCACCAGCAGGCTTTGCTTTCCAATGAGGAATAAAAATCCCAGCCCCTTTGTATCTCTCGCTCTATTAAAATCTGAACAAACTGTATCATCTCACGGGCAGAAAGAGCTTTCTCTGTGATGGGAGTAACTCCATTTTAAAAACTCACCTAAGGACAGATCCAAATGTTAGTTTTGACAATAAAAAGACTTTAGGCCACTAACCACACAGACTCATTTTCCTTTGAGCTGATGTTTTTCTCTGAGGTCTAAAGTATGCTTCTGATCCCAGGTGTGCATACATGTGGACACGACAGACTGACGACCTCGTCTTGGAGAGCCCTGGGCCTTAGGGTTGGTGAGAGAGAAAGCTAAACAGCCGTCAGAAAGCCCTGGCACAGAGCAGGCTGCTGAAGAGAGATCACTCAGAGGCTTCTTCCTCAAAGCCAGATGATGAACATGAGACGGAGTGAGAGCTAATGCCACTCAGGGGGAAAGCCAATAAGCTAATCCGCTGACACGTTTCTAGAAGCAGGCTGAGGGCTTTGGCTCAGAGACTTGCCTGTTCTTGGCTCTGGGCTTCAGAGCACACAAGATGCACACGGGTGGCCTGAGAACAGACTCCCACCAAGAGCAGCCTCAAGCACTCATACCTCCTCCTTCACACAGAAAACAGCCCTGGCCACCAAGCCCAGGTCTTCCATTCCACCAGACAATAACCCCGACCAGGAAGACATTCTCCTGTCCCAAATGCTTTTCCCAGCAGTCTGGGCCTCCCTGCTCTTTCTGGGTCATCTGTTGAGCGTACATAAGCACATCCACATACAGCCCTACGTGAAACCATTTACTTACCTAACAATATATTAACAGGCCCCACGATACAGCTGAACTCCAGAGTAGGAGCTGTAACCCCCAGGTTCTCATCCCAGCTGAACTATACATTCGTTTGTGGGAATTTGAGCCAAATCACCTCTCTGAATTTATCAATTGGGATATCAACACATCCTGCCCACCACACATGGATATTATGAGATCAAGTAAGATGATAAATGAAAGTGCTCTGTAAGTTGTAAACCACCATATTATATTTCCTAAAGGCTTTATGGGGAATCAGTTCTTAATTCCATCTTCTCTGATCACCAGAGAAGATATTAACTGGCAAGTGCTTTATTAGAAGTTTAAATATCCATTTACATGTGTCTGAGCCTGGCACACAGATGGTGTCCAACTGTGTGAGATGAGAGCAATGCTGTATAAAAACAATGCAACTAAATGAAGCCTGACAAGAGTTATAGAGTGAGAAGGTAGACAAAAGGAAAATTCCTGCTTCCAACGCTGAGTCCCTGAAAAGTGGCCTCCTTTCCCATCCCACACAACTGCAGAGGACAAGGCTCCCACACACTACAAGGTTATTTCTGGTGACGTCAAGCTGTCTTCCACCTGACTTTGTGAATAGAAACCATCAACAAATACAGACTCTGAGAACCAGAGTCTAATAAATTATACAAGTTAAAGACCTCCTGGCCTGGAGCCTTCACTTATTTACAAAATATACCACCTACAGGGAGCAGATTTTAAAAAATTACTAAGTTCTTAGGTTAAGTGGCCATTCTCCAAACCTTGTTTATACTAAAAGCACAATGACTAACGTGCCCCTACTCTGCATGCATAAAAGCTTTTCGCATCAGTGGCTGAAACTTGAGTCATGACCAAGACTGTCATCAAAGGACATTGATCGAGAACCTACTGTGTGAGCTGTGCTCACTTGAACACTAAACTCTGTGCCACCCTTGCTTCTCAGAGGTGGACTCAGCAACAGCTCTTTCCCTGCTCAAGCTGAGGGTCTAAGAAAAGGTGATGTGTGATTAAGCAAACCCCTTGGTATACCAGGCACAGCAGTGGGTCTCATACATGCTTTTCCAATTGGAAACTATATATCGTATGTATATGCAGATGTATGTGTCTGTCTATCTGTCTGAAGCTTGAGGTGGGCAGACAGGACCTACTGTAACAAAACAAAAACAGTAAGCCTGACGTCTTTGCTCCCTGCACTTAGCACTCCTTGTCACTTTGTGCTGCCCAATAATTTAAGCATGAATTAAGAATTCAAGACCCCTTTCCGGGGCCGGCCTGGTGGCATAGCGGTCAAGACCCCTTTCAATGCTATAGGTTCAGTACATAGCCAAAAATGACTATTTTTGCCATGATAAATCAATTGAGTACCCTACAGTCCTCCAATAGAAACTCAGATGCCTTCTTGTCTTCTATTTCTGCAAGCAATGAATTCACCTTCTTAAGGAAGCAGAAATCCTTAAAACATCCAGTAATAAACGCAAATTGTTACTGCTGAATCAAACCATGTAATGCTTGCCCAGTTAAATAAACATCAAACATAGAGGAGTCCTACATAGATTGATGGAGGAGAACGGATTTAAAGATTTAAAGATTCCGGTTATTAGCAAGTGGGATAGTAAAGTTAAACTACATTAAAGCTGGAATGAGAGGCAGCGTCAGAAAGGGTTAGAAGCAGGAGAGGGGGTGACAGGCACTCCAAAGCACTGGACCCTTTCCACAGATCTCACATCAAGGAAGTATAATTTAATTAAGAAAGCCCTCAAAAGTCAAGCTGTTCCACATGAAGTACTGTTAAAGAAGGTGAAGGTGGCTACATATTTCCCTTTGCTAATATCAGAATTATTTTCATGGCTAAGGTCTCTCAGCCTAGCCTAAAACTGAGCAACTGGCTGCCAACATCTGACACACAGGGCCATTTCCTTTTTCGTTAATGGGCCATCAGTTCCTGCATAGGGTAGTCTTGCCTTCACTAACATTATACAATCCATTTACTTCCTCTACATTAGTGACTTAAAATGCACCTTGGGGAGATACTACAGAACAGCAAATGTGGAGCCAGGCCAACACTAGGCTTACAGAAACATAAGAAGAGATTGTGGCATCTAGGACAAAATTTAAAAAAATAAACCCTAACAGGCGTGTGTGTGTAAAGGGGGTAAAGGGAGATGGGACCCATCCTCTGTCAATTTGCTGAGGCAGATGGGCACTGCTGTGAGAGCTGCCACCTCCTGGGAAAAAAGCCAGTAGGTCGCCTCTTCTCTCCACGGTTACATATTAAGCCTGCAACTGTTTACGTTCAATCTCAGATACATTCTGTTCACCAGCTTCCGAGTTCCAAGTGCAGGTGCCCTCAGTTAATCATCCCAGCTCACTCCAGAGTCACTTCCAGCAGTGAAGGATGCTCCAGGCAGTCCGCCAGCCAGAGTCATTTGGTGTTTTTTTTAATCTGTACCATTCTGATCCCTAAAGACTTGTTTAAAAAGTTTGGTTTTTGTTTAAAGTAGTTCCTTCAATTTGTCATAGGACAAATCTAGGACTTTAATTTGGACAATGAAAGAGACTGAATGAGAAACGAAGAAACAAACTCCTGGTGGTGGTCAAGCTGGGGTGGGGGTGGGGATGAACAATAGACGCAAAACACTTTGAGAAAAATATTTTCTAAAAAAAGGCTTTGAAGGTAACCTTCCAGGACAAGAAAACCAACCTCGCATTCATTTTGAAAAAACTATTTACTTTTTTCCAAATATTATTCCAAACGTGTTTTACAGACAAGGGTCACTATGGGTCAGAAACATTCTATAGAAGAAAGCGTTTTTATAGACATTGGAAATAATTTTAATAGAAGAAAAGCTTACATGTATCTAGATGTGGCTACGTTCCACAGGAAGATCTCAGCATCCAAAGTGCAAAGACAAAATGACTGTGGCTTTTCTTGCCACACAAAATATTGACAATCTTCCCGTTTAGCCTACTTTTAATTGTTAGTTGAAATGCCAAATAGACAGCATACTGACTTTAGAAGTGGGACTCTAATGGACAAGGCAGGGGTAGGGGGGTCAAGCATCAGAATGAATTCAACTTAAGAACAAAATGGCTTTGACCCCCAACGAAACCCAAAGTCCACCCAGAGGCCCACTGGAGATAAATACAAGTTGTAGTATCACTTTTACAAGGTTGTGCCACTTCATACTATTAAACCTAATCAATCCAATTTAAAGCTAAGCATACTCCCATCATCAGTTCCATCCTCACTCTATTGCATTTTTATGAAGGCTCCATGTTACAGCTCAGTTCATAATGGGGGAAGGGGAACTTCCAAGTTCTCAGAACGAGCCATCCTAAATCCTCTGTGCAAACCTTTCTTTACCCTCCCCTCCCTCTTCCCACCCCGAGACGTCAGTCTTACCAGAGGTAGGGCTTCTGTCATTGTCTCAGGGAAATTAGTTCTAAATGACACCAGAGAAAGGTCATTCCATGAGCAACATTTGGCTTTAAGCCAAAGGGATGCCCCCCAGCCCCCTAAAGAATCACCATGACTTCCATACCACCCTTCCACCCCTGTACAGATCTCCCAACTAAAAGCTCCAGCAATGACAGCACAGGCGTGGATATTACGTTACTTGAGGAGAAGGAGAGGGAGATATATATAGTTTTAATAAAACCCCCATGCACAATTAAACTTGATTAAAAGCCTGGAGAATGCTAAAAGTAGTAATGAGTACAGGAGGCTGAGGAGAGCACAGGTGCACTCTTCCTTGCAGTCAGTCAACGCTGGAAGGGAACAGCAGATGTGACTTCACTTGAGCATTGGAGAAGCAAAAAAGTTGCCTTGTCGTGCTAGGTTGGTGGCAGACTTGCTTTTGCTCCCAAATCTAAAGAAAAAGAGAATGAACTGGAAAAGCAGTCTATAAAAAATGGTAAATAAGCTATAACACTACTTGATATAATCAACTCACAGTAGGAAACCCTCAACTCCTCTGTAAGCTACTCTTTGTCACCTGAGATGAGAGACGGGAAACAGCAAAGACCTTTAGACCCTTTAAAAAAACGGGATCCTTATGGCTCCAGGTTTCTTTTAAAGTCTAGTTGCTAGCTAAGATCTAATTCAATTTTTCTTTCAATAATTTTCAGTACGATGGGAAAGAAGTCTGAGGAAGCACTCGTTTTTCATTTCCTGAACAGTTCAGGCCAACTCCACATACCTGGGAGTGTTCTTGGTGAGGGTGGAGCGGACTCGCTGCGACAGGGAGCTGGAGGAAGGAGTCTTGAGGAGCTGATGCTCGGGAGTGGTCACAGGCCCCAGTAAACTCACTGCAATCAAAGTCAAGACACATTTTTAAAGGAGGGGAAAAAAGAAAGCACATGGCCAGTCTTAAGCTGAATACCCTGTGAAGCATTTAAGAGCTACGGTTAGAGACCTAGTAAAACCCCAGAGATTACTTTTGCCATCATTTTGTAACACACCAGCATATCTTTTGAACTATGCAGGCAGCTGCTCAATGAACAGCTGACATTCACGTCCTGATTTAGGTCAGTCTCAAACTCCAAACTTCACAAATCTAACACCTGACCATTTGATTTTTACCTATACTAGAAAAAACAATATGCTCCCTTAAAAAGGAACTTGCAGGGGCCAGCCCGGTGGTGAAGCAGTTGAGTGCATGCACTCTGCTGTGGCGGCCCAGGGTCCGCCGGTTCGGATCCCGGGCGCACACCGACGCACCGCTTGGCAAGCCATGCTATGGCGGCGTCCCATATAAAGTGGAGGAAGATGGGCACGGGTGTTAGCACAGGGCCAGTCTTCCTCAGCACAAAAAAAAAAAAAAAGGAGGATTGGTAGATGTTAGCACAGGGCTGATCTTCCTCACAAAAAAGATAAATAAATAAGAAGGAACTTGCAGTAATGAAAGAACAGGTACCCAACGCCAGTGAGGTTGGAATGAAACCAGCCTCATACATTTTTGGTGGCAATACAAACTGGCAAAAGCCTTTAAGAGATCAAGTTGGTAAAACATATCAAGAAACATAGACATGTTCAAGCGCTTTAATTCAGTGATTCCCAATCCTGGGAATTTATCATTAGGAAACAAACAAGGTATATACATACAATGTCGATGGCAGCATTATTTATAATTATGAAAAGTTGAAAAATAACATCAATACCTAATAGAACATTTAAGTAATTATAGTTTACAACCATAAAAATGATAAATAAGATTATATAGTAACAGAAAAGGTTCTCACAATACGCTAAGCGAAATAAGAACAAATTATATCTAATTATTATTATATCTATGTTTTAAAATATCTATATGGGTAAAGAAGAACGTGGAAAAGTGAAAAAAAATTAGAATGGTAGAACCGTACAAATTTTCCTTTAATGTTAGAATTCTCAAAATGAATTTAATTTTTATAGAAGAAGATGAAGTTCAAACAGCTCTAGCAAAGGCTAGAGGGCTCTAGCAAAGGAGAGGGCACAGGACCAAAACCAGAGAGGGAGTCAGGCCCTTCCAGAAGCACCACTTAGGACTCACCTTTAATGTCTGGTGTCTGTGGTGTTGAAAAAGCGTTGGAGTTTTCAATGACATGCATGGGGTCAATGTTTTCTTGTTCCACCATCATGAACTGACTCCAGTACTCCAGCGGCAGTGAAAGCAGGCGCTCTACCACCTAAAAGCCACCAAATATATGAGCAAACTTCCAAAGCTTGGAGCTTACCTCTCATCATTCTCTCATGTTATCATGTTATACAAGTTCACACACACACACACGCCTGCCTACCTTGGGCTGACGCTTGATATCCTGTAACATTATCACTGGATCTGGATTGGGCACAGCATGGGCGACAATTGTAGGGCCAAAGACTTTAGCCAGATTGGCAACATCCATTTTAGTGTTTGGACTCTGAGCCACTCTAAGCAAAAGAGCGTTAAATTAGAAGACTTGCCCCTCTGTTTAAACGCAGACCAAAATATAAGTTCTACAAGAAAACAATTCACTCCTCACATTCCCTCCCTAACACCTAACCCACACTATCTTCCCCTTGGAAAATTCTCTAACTCCCAGAAACAAGTTTCTGCTGGACTCACCTCTGCAAGTGAATCATGAGAAATGCTAATGTGTCTCTGTTGGCCTGGGGCAGTTCACCCACAGCCTGGTACATGGCAGCTATGCTGTTGTCCTCATCTGCGATCTCTGTAAATGAAAAGAAAGCAACAAGAGGCCTAGACTTCTTTCCCTTGACAGCAGCCTTCCAAGTTATCGACCACAAAGTCTCATCTATACAGTAAGCTTCTGAAACTTCTGATTAGGTTCATGACTGCATCAGACTCTAGTTTCATTAACAAGCAGGATACTGGCTAACAGCTCAATATTTAGAAATCAGAAACTTTTAAAAAACCGGCTCTTGCAGTTAGGGAAAGCAGCTGGCAACACATGTGGTAGGAAGGCAGACACACAACTGCAGTGACTATAATTATCAAGAAGGTATTCGCTGATAAAACATGTTTAAGACCTACTGTGTGCCAGGTACTGTTCTAAGTGCTCAGGATAAAGCCGAACTAAACAAAGACTTTGCCTCATGGAATGTACATTCTATTGGAGGAGTTAGTCAAAAAGCAAATATCTATCAGGTAGTGATACATGTAATTAAAATAAGGCAGGAAAGGGGCTGGCCCGGTGGCGCAAGCGGTTAGGTGCTCGCGCTCCGCTGCGGTGGCCGGGGGTTTGCCAGTTGGGATCCCAGGCACGCACTGACGCACCACTTGTCAAGCCATGCTGTGGCGGTGTCCCATATAAAGTGGAGGAAGATGGGCACGGATGTTAGCCCAGGGCCAGTATTCCTCAGCAAAAAGAGGAGGATTGGCAGATGTTCGCTCAGGGTCGATCTTCCTCACAGAAAAATAAATAAATAAATAAAATAAGGCAGGCAAGAAGCTAGAAAGTAACAGGGGCTGTTATTTTAGACAAGGTAGTGAGGAAAGGTGTTTCTGAGGACAAGATATCCAAAAAAAGAAACCTGAAAGAAGTAAAGGAGCAAATCATGCAAATATCATTCCAGGCTGAGACAACAACAAATGTGATGGCCTCGAGACGGGAGGAAGCTGGGTCACGTTCTAAGAAGTGCAAGAATTCCAGTGTAACTAGAAAGGAAGGAGAGAACGGAAGGGTGTTGAAGGAAATGATGTTACAGACATAACCAGGAGCCAAGTCATGTAGGCTCTTTTGGGCCGTGTTAAGGACCGTGGATTTTATTCTGAGAGTGATGGGAAGCCACTGGTGGACACTGAGGACAGAAGGGACATCACCTAATTTAAATTTAAAAAGGACCACCCACTCTAGCTACTGGATGAGGGTCACACTGTGGAGGGCAAGAGTAGAAACAGGAAAATCAGTAGGTTCTTATACCACTCCAGGGTGAGAGATGGCAAGAGCGGTAGTAGAAGGAATGACAAATTACAAATTTAAGACCTATTTTACACGACCTTTGCTGGCAAGATTTACAAATGGATTAAATGTAGGGTGTGAGGAAAAGAAATCAAAGATAGCTCCAAGCTCAAAAGGACAACCTAAAACTTTACCAAAAAACACCAACAAAAAAACCTGTTAGTACCCTATATAGTTCAGATGGAAGAGGACAGGCATGGGGAACATGGATATAGTTATTCATCCATCAAAGTATTTGAGCATCTACTATGTTTCAGGCACCGTACTAGGCAGGGGATAAAACTGTTCACTACAGAAGAGTCAAAAATTCCTGCCCCTGTGGGACTCACATTCACATATGAAGATCTGCCCTCACCTGCTGCTTCCATAAAGGTCTTGTTGAGCCGGAAAGTTAGAAGGGGTTCTTTGAGGTTTCGAAGGAAGTCTTTCAGGAGGCTACAGATAGCATGGATGTCGTCCACTTTGCTGAGGAGGGGTACAGTTTTCACTCTGAGGAATTTCTCTTTCAGCTCTTTTACTGTCCGGTCACAGCCTGAGATCCGATACAGGCCTGTCTATTAGCAAGATAACACTTTCAGTTAAGAACCACCTAACTATTAACACAAATAAATTCACCCTCTCTCAGGGGTGACTCTTACCTCGGTCAGCCCTCTCTGCTCAATCTCATTTACGCAGTGGACAACAATGGAGGGGATCATTGGAGAAGTCTGGGACACATAATCTGCCAGCATTCCCTGAAAAGAGAGCTTTAAATGACTATTTATACCACTTAGACCAGCAGATGAAGACCAGCGGGAAGAGCCATCTCCAGACTAATACTCAGGCTGGGACAACATGTCTATTTTTAAATTCCTAGTCCCAAAACATATATTAGAACAGAGACGCTCAATTCCTTTTCCTACCTCTGCACCAGGACTGATTTACGGTCACATGTACCACACTCTTTCGGGAACAAGCAATAAGACCACTGGCTACAACTCCGCCCTGCATCCCTTCCACGCCAGGGTCCCAGAAAGCAAGCAACAAGGAAATTACAGGTGTGGCCTTCAATATCAACGAATTTATTCCTCTAAAAAGAACCCTTTATTACACTTGAATTACCCTTAATAAGAAAAATTATTTAACACAACTCACAGTTGATTTTGACACAAACCTATCTGTAGGGGAGAACTCCAGGGTTCTACATTAGAGCACAGAGAATTTGTAAAAAATTATATGCACAGATAAGAACTCTTAAGATTAAAGAAAAGTAAATGTTTGATTTGCTGGGGGCTGGGTAGCAGCATAGTCATTTTGTTTTGATTCTTGCTAATGTTGCTTGTATAATAAATAATTTTTTAATAGATTGAATCAATGTTTAGAAATAAGCAACCTAATCTTAATAGCCTAGAATGGAATATCTCTAATATAAGAGAAAGAATGTTCACAGATAAAATTATATGATGGCTGTGATTTGCTCCAAAATAATTCACTGGACAGGGCCAGGAGGAGATGGGGGTATTGATAAATCATGACTGGGTGTGAATCAGTGATTGTGGTAGCTGAGTGACAGGAACCAGGGTTAGTTATACTAATCTCTCTATTTTTGTATATGTTTGAAATTTTACAAAATAGGATTGGATGAGGAGGGGAAGGAAGAGAAGAGGAGGAAAGAAAGAGGGGGGAGGGAGTGAGGGGAGGGAAGGGAAAGTGGGGAGGAAAGGGAAGAGGAGTTCATTTGGAAAGGTTACTAAACAGACAAACAAACCCAAACAGGACTCTGCTGCAAGTTAACATTTTATAATTTCCATTCGTTATTCGTGGAAGGAAATATACTTGGCATCATTAATTTTAGAACAAAAACTGACATTAAGCTTTGGAAAAGCTAAAGAAACCATAACACAATGATGGCTCCCCCAGGTCATACCTCTCCAATCTTGACAGGTGTTCCTATCAGGGTAGGAATGCAGGGAAGGGGACAGCGGTCCCGACATTCTGGATGAGAGACCACACGACAGTCTCGACACTTCAGAGACAGCTTGCCAAATTTTATCCGCTTTCCACATGGCACACAAGATTCAGGTTTAATAACCTGAGGATGAAATGGGGCAGAAGGAACAGAGTGGTATGAATTAGAAAATTATCATCATCAACCAACATTTATTAAAGCACTCAGAATGTGCTGAACTTCCTAATCTCTTTACACATATTTACTTGTGTAATTCTCACAATAATCCTACAAAGGAGGTTTTGTTTTCTTTGTTTTTTATTTATTTATTTATTTATTTATTTTGCTGAGGAAGATTAGACCTGAGCTAACATCTGTTGCCAATCTTCCTCTTTCTTTGCTTGAGGAAGATTCGCCCTGAGCTAACATCTGTGCCAATCTTCCTCTATTTTGTATGTGGGTTACCGCCATAGCATGGCTGCTGACACATGGTGTAGGCCCACACCCGGGAACTGAACCCAGGCCACCAAAGCAGAGCACGTCAAACTTAACCTCTAGGCCACGGGGCCAGCCCCTGTTTTCTTTATTTTAAGATAAGGAAATAGGGGCCGGCCTGGTGGCGCTGGTTCAGATCCTGGGTGCCAACCTGCTCACCGCTCATCAAGCCATGCTGAGGCGGCATCCCACATAGAAGAACCAGAAGGACCTACAACTAGCATATACAACTATGTACTGGGGCTTTGGGGAGAAAAAAAAAAAGAGGAAGATTGGCAACAGATGTTAGCTCAGGGCCAATCTTCCTCAAAAAAAAAAAAAAAGATAAGGAAATAGAAGCAAAAACAGACTAAGTAACTTGCATAAGGTCATCCATAACGTTATTTGCATAAGGGAGCAGTGTGCAGTAGTGGAAAGAACTTGTGGACGAGGAGTCAGAAAACCTCCATGTTAACTCTGCCACTCACTGCAGGTGGCTCCAACAAGTCAGTTAACTCCTCTGATCTCAGTCAGTTTGCTTGGGTTTTTATGAGGAAGTCAAATGGGACAACGGTCAAAATGTGCCATATTCAAGCATAGAATGTAAATATGTATCACTAAAAAGCACAAACAACTGCTTCTGAAAAGTTGCTTTCTTTTAGTTTACTTTTACTCACAGGATGGAAAGATACATGCCTTCTGTAACCAGTAGTTACCCCTGGAGAGTGGGATTGGAAGGAGGAAGGACATTCAACATTTAACTTTATAACACTAAAGTACTGAAATTTGTTCCTGGTATACATCACTTTCACAATTAAAAAATTAAATGTGCCCAAAAGAAGGAGGAGCGATGACAGATTTACCGTCTTAGAGACAAAGTCATGCAGGCGCATCCCTCCGTTACCCTGTGGAGTGCTGGAACTGTCTGTCTCGGTTCTTGGCTCCAGCTGCCTGCTGCTCAAGGTGGAGTCACTGTTCCAAGGCTGTAAAGCACCTAGAAAACAAGCAACTTTAAGCTTTGAGTCATAAGTGTTTTGTTCCTTCTGAATTTTAACTCCAATTTTAATATAATTGGTAGATAACCAGTAATCTGTAACCATAATCAGAAGTGAATATAATGGCTATGCAAAAACATTATTTCAAGAATAACAAGTTATGCACCAGTGACACAGGCCAGGCCAGCTATCCAAAGGTAGAGCCTGACACAAGCAGTGCTCTGGTCCCCAATAAGTGCAGTAAGAAACTACCCAGCACATCCAATCCCTGCCTCAGAAATGTTCTGGGAAACCAGAGCTCCCCAAATTCTACCAGTTGTTTTACACAGGCAATTCAGCCACACACCCAGCAGACCTGTTTTCCTTCGGCTTCTCGTCCAATATGGCACAGTCTCAATAGTGGACACGGCTTCAATGGGACCGCCATCATTGGGAACGGTCACTGTAGTTTTTGCAACAATGGATTCATTCCCCTGAAACAAAAGTAATAATGAGGGAAGGATAAACATTTGAATCTAATTTCACCTCCACTATAGGGTGTTTTGGAGTAGTCGAAAAATTCCTGAGTCTTGGTCAGGACTTAAGGCCCCAACCCAAAACACTCTTCCCACCCCGCCCCTTTTTCTCCCCAAAGCCCCGTAGATAGTTTTATGTCATAACTGCACATCCTTCTAGTTTCTGTATGTGGGACGCCGCCTCAGCATGGCTGGACAAGCGGTGCATCGGTGCATGCCCGGGATCCAAACCTGGGCCGCCAGCAGCTGAGCACACGCACCCAACTGCTAAGCCACGGGGCCGGCCCCCCAAAACACTCTTAAGTTGAAATCTCATACCTTAGAACAGAAATATAGATCACAGGGGTATACATACAGCAACTAAGAATCAAACATAAAGCTGACAGTTGCTTGCTTAGAGTAATTCCATTCATATGGATGATAGGATCTTATTACACAGAAAAACTCTCACCAAGCATTTCTCTCAAAATAACACTGCAATGTTGCCTCAGGATTTTTAATGCTTGGAGACACCAATCTCTGATGTGTCCAAAACCACAATCCTCTTGGCCTGACTATTCTTACCTGGTCTGCTGTGGACTCAATGGAACGAGTTTTCTTTATAGGTCCAGGGGGACCATCAATGAACTGTCTGCTACTAGAGCGCTAGAGAGGGGGCAAAGACCAATAACTTTAGTGCCAAATAGAAGATGTGAAGCACAGAAGATAAAATTATTCCATAAGACAACTTGGATGCAAGTCCTAAGTACCAGGGCTACAGTAAATAACAAACAATGTGCTCTCTCTCATTGCCTATTTCCACATGAAGCTTAAGTTGTACCAACACAAAAATGCCCTAGAAGAAACGAGCAAGCTTTGGAAAAATTTAGATGACAGCACCAGAAAAAGCAGAGCTGTAATCCTATCTAAGGATATGAAGTCTTTGGAAACATATTAAGTACCCTAAACAAGCACACACAAATAGATCTCTGTATATCCCATTATACACAAATTTCATCTGAAGCTTATATCAGAGCACAAAAGTCTTGCATAAAAATTCATATGACAACTCAAACCAAACTTAAGTGTATCCTTTTCCACTGGATGAATGAACAGAGAGCAGCCCAGAACAGTGAAACAGGACAGGGACATCAATAGCACCCCCCAGCAGGGCTTCCTTTGTAATATATGTTTAACAATGGCTAGAGCAACATGTCAGGAATGCAGGATCATGGCAAAATTTCAGGAGAAAACTCTATTATTGTTACCTTGTAAAAAAAAAAACCTAAACAAAATCATACATACCCTCTTTTCTCTCTTCTTCAGTTTGAAAGTCTTTACCAAAGAAGAATCCCAATCCTGTTGACAATTATACCATATTAATTTCTTTCTTTGGTTAGGCCTCCCCTAAACCCTGTGTAAATAAATTTACAGAGAATTTTAAAGGTTTCTTGAGTCAGACTACCCAATTTACAATTCGGGGAGGGGTGAAGGGAGGGTGCCAAGTGTCATAGCTATGGAGCTATAGGAAGCTAACTTGTTTTCTTTCAAAAATTGAAGCTATTATAATAGAATCAGGAATCAATACCACAGAGGCAAGAAAAGGTTAAAGAATCAACTTCTGTCGTGATTATCTCCAGTGCCTGGTCCTTTATTTCTGATTGTTTTTGTAATTAGTTTTAGAACTTACAGAATGTTATCTACTATAGTGATCGTGTTAGATGTGATTCTTGCTCTTAGGGATTGCTATTGTCTAATCAGATGTTCTGTACAAGGTAGCCACTTAAAAAGTTCTACTTTAGGTTTTATGTCTCCTTTTTTTGTGTGTGTGAGGAAGACCGGCCCTGAGCTAACATTTTTCTCCCCAAAGCCCCAGTAGATAGTTGTATGTCATAGTTGCACATCTTTCTAGTTGCTGTATGTGGGACGCTGCCTCAGCATGGTCGGACAAGCAGTGCGTCAGTGCGCGCCCGGGATCCGAACCCGGGCCGCCAGTAGCAGAGTGCACGCACTTAACCACTAAGCCACGGGGCCGGCCCCAGGTTTTATGTCTCTTAATCATCTCTTTTCCTTGGGCCCTAAAAAATACATCACCACTCAAGAATTGTCTTTTACTGTGGTCTACTTTCACTTCACTTATTTTAACCATTTGCATTCATTTTTAGTAGCTATCTGTGACTTCCCTATTCCTTATAATCCCTGAGAACACAAAATCCAGAAACAGTTGAATATGGCAAATAGTAGCTTGGCTAAATAAATTTAACCTCTCCAATTCATGGTTAAGTAATGTTGTTTGATTCAGTTTCCATTACAACAGATATCATTATCATAGGTCTAGCTCCAAAATCAGCTAATAATATATTCTTGTTTTATTATATCTATATCATTCCTTATTTCAAAAAGGTGATACCTAATATTCATATCTATAAAATAGCAATTATTTCCCTAGCCAAACACTAAATTTGGACAGAAAACTCTTAGACCATGTAACAAGTAGTTGTCTCTTGTTTTGTTATCATCAGAAAATCAACCAATAGCCTCCTGATTTATTGTTTTGTTTGCTAGCTTTCAGCCAGTAAAACAGAAAAGATACACAAACCAATAAACTACCAGTCTCCTGAACATCAAAGATGCAAATGTTAGGAGATGACCTTTTAGGCAGAAACACCACCATAAGTTAAGAGAAGAGTGCCGCCCCACAAAAGCAGGGTGAGAAACAGTTTAGACACATTAACCATTGTTGATCAAAGCATTATACGGTGCCTGCAAACTTCTAGCAGTCTTTTGGCTGAAGTTCCAGGGCATTGGTTTCCTTCTAATCGTGAAATATGACTAAGTTTTCCTTAAGAACCAAACTAATTCAGAAACAAGGCACAAGTCTATTTCCCCCCAAGAGGAGCCAATAACCCTGCCTGGATAGAGTCTTGCTAATTTTTTTATTGCTAGCTGGGGCTTTAATAAGTCAAGATATAATCAATTAGTACATGCAGCTTACAGATCCATTAAATAAATTTAACCTCATGCCAAAGCCTGAATACGTATCCTCACTTCCAGAAAATAAATAAATACATAAGCCAGTCTCTTATAGCTTGTGTGGATTTATATTTTAAAATGCTAGCTCAGTATCTATAAAACATCAACTAATAAAGTAGTAATAAAGGAATTCCAGAAGAGAGGGCAGGAGAGATATTCCTGAGGAAGCAGAGGTAAGAGAAACAGATAATTCTCAGAGAGCAAATGTCCATTACCAGGGATTCATCAGTCTTGTCAAAGCTGATATCTGATAAAATGGAACCAGATTCATCAATGGTTGACAGTCTAGAGGAGTGAAATAATACAAGTGTTAGACACAGAAGACTGGGAAAGTAAAATCCACCAACACCCTGAACAACCATACCAGTCAGGTCACATCAGCAATTTCACAGCAACTGCTTCCCTTTGGAGATAACTACAAGCTCAACCCCTAGCTGTGGTGGGCTGCTTTTGATGGCTTTCATGAGGGAGTGTGTGCGTGCGTGCATGCACAACTACACATGCAGCACAGCTGCTTTCCCAGCAAAGGCCTTACTCAGGAAAGTTAGACTCAGGGGTATGGGTGCTATTCCCTGCTGAGTTGGTACTACAGGCTACTAAAATTCACAAGGCAGAAAAGGGAAATTTAATTTGATCTCAACTGTAGTTGCTTTCTACAACACAGAGTATGACCCAGCATTAACTTTTTAAGAAATTAAGCCCGTACATCTTCTTAGTTATAAAGATTCCCCATAAAACAACCAGGCAACAAAATAAATAGCTCTCAGAGTGCTGAGCTTTCCCCACACGTTGTATTGAGGGTGTTAAATTCAAGACATGATTGAGACTATTTTAAATAGTGATGCAGTAGAACCAAAATTATTATCTGGTCTTGGCTCACAGAAGGCCTTTCTAAACCAGAAGAGCTACAAGACCTCTCAGGAGAGTAAACAGCGAAAGTATTGCTGAACTGCCACTTTCACTTTTGGGCTCCTTAGCAATGTGCAGGATTAGTTATTGATGTGCAATTTAGCACCAACATAAAAATTTCACCCATGGTGAAACAACATCCTAAGGAAAGATTAAAAAAAGAAAAGAAAAGAAATAGGGAGGCCCCGGTGACAATTTCCCATCTACCCTTCCTCCAGTCTTTTTCTGCCTTATTCAGCACACATTCCAGAAGCAATATATTTAAGAGTTCAGATAAAAGAACTTCTGACAGCTGTGTTGCTTGTGTCAGATGACAACAGATGCAGTTCCCCCACCTTTTGTTCCCAGCATTGCCGCTGAATGGTTGGCCTCTGTTGAGAAAAGCCAGAGCTGATTTTTGCTCCTCGCTTAGTTGAATGCTGCCAGATGTGTCACACATGAGCATCTCTCGAATCAGCTGAATCTGTCTTTCCTACAGACCAAAGCAGAGTAAAACATCCTAACTAAGCAGGGGAGAAAGCTTCACCTCAAATTTATGGGATGGGCAGACCAGAAGACATTAAAATACAGCATTATGCAAATGATCCTTCAGGAAGGCTGCTACACCAATAGCATATTAATTCTCATCAAGCCCAGACTGTGTCTCTGATTTCTGACTGGTAAATGAACTCCATCTAGAATAGCGGGGTTTCTGCTACAAGACTTTTGGATCAAACTGCTAATCCAAGAGGAGAGAGTATTGCAAAATGAGAGTCTCAAAATAGATTTCACATAGCAAAAGCACTTTAGTGTTATTTTATCAGGACAATTATTGGCTTCTTCTGCAGACAAAGTAGCCACCCACCTTTGTAAATGGTGGAGCAAAATGCATTAAAATGGATACAAAGCTGTGATGCACCAGAACCAGACAATTTGAGCTTACTGAGGCATCTAACACTGTACCAAGATGGATTAGTCCCTCTTGGTAAAGGCTTTCTTTCCTTTGCACCATGACGCACCCCCCTGGTACATCAGAATGATAGTGTTCTATGTTACCACATTGCTCAACTGGTTTAATACATCTAGCCCTTTACCCTGAACTAGGAGCAGTGATGAAGGAAAGACTTAGAGTTGTCTTGCTTGTATCAGTGACACAGTAGCTATTGATATAAGGATGAAGATATTCTGGGTAGCATGAGAGATGGCCAATTATCTTGTGACAGGTCAAGTATGCTAGGAATTCCCTGCCTTTTCCTCTAATTTTAATTCTTTAAATTCTCATTTGAAATCTGTCTATTAAGTTATAGTTTCAAGTCTAAAGGAGGAAAAAATTTAAATTCCAACCTATGAAGAACAGGATTCCTAGACTGCAGTTTCAGCTCCAATCACGGATAAGTTGTCAATGGACAGATTGCTTTTAGTTCTTTAACGTGGAGGAAGAAACTGGGTATATCTGGCAACTAGAAACATGATCCGATGATGTTTCCCCCTCCCCCGCCGTCCCGCTTCTAGCACAGAAAACAATACACACCAGCTTTTCACAGTCAGCCTCCGCTCGCTGTCTCCGTTTGATCTCTACATCCACCTGATTGCGTGCATGCTTCAGCTTAACATCCAGAGCGCTACGCTCAGTCTCTGCTTTCATCAAAAGATCCTTGTATTTCCCCAGCTCATGGTCTGTTCTCTGCCACTTTTTACGGAAATCCTCAAAGTCCTTTGCCAACTGGATGAATTCTAAGGAAAGGGGAAAATTTTAATAATTCAAGCATCAAACAGAGTTATAAATGCTCTAATAAATGAGTCCTCTGGTTAGTTTTACTGCAAATACATAATTAAGAGACCAGCTAAACTATGGCCAAATCCAGCTGAAAATACCGAGGAGCAGGTCCTGGATACATGTTCAAACTCTGGATGAGAGACTGGTGGGAAGCAATTCCTTTTCACTAGGCCACTTACTTGGCTTAGCCAGTGGCATCTGCTATAGAATAAGTAACTCATTAGTCACCTGGCTCCAGATGTAACACCAACACTGAAAGCTCCTGAACAGAAGGCAATCAAAGGAGGATACCTTTGGGGCAGCTGTCACGCACCAGGACAGTTATGGCTATAAAACAAAAACAGACTCCTTTAGAGTCACGCGTTGCTGTGCCAGAGAGACGTTAAAAGGCAAATTCAAATGTAACTGCTGTAATATGCTCCGGTAGACGTAGACTAATATTATAGATGTCTAGGCCTGCAATTCCATTCAGCTATATAATTATACCAATATTGATTTGAAAGTAAAGAGCCAATTTGCTTTTGCTGTTTAACACTGCCCTGAAGGGTATGTAAACATTCCAGTGGGAAAGACACAGGAAGAAAAGATCCTATGAGCTTTGGGTGAGTCACTGATAGTGGAATGTGGACTCTTTTCAAACATCTGCAAAGAGAGTGTCACTTACAAGGCAGCACCTCAAAGAACGATAACCCTGGTGGCATTCACTCTTATCACCCGCCATTGGCAAAGACTGTCCTTCTACGATGCCTTACTATTTTCTCGTTAACCTCAATCTATCTCTAAGCATCACTCTCTGCCAGTCCTGGAGGAAGTTTCTAAGGTGTACAGCTACTCCTGGTCAAACTAACCCAGTTTAGAGCTGAAAATAGGCCAAATTCACACGAAGCCAGCAGCTTCTTAGGTAGTAAGGGTACTTTTCCTATTTGAATTTAACCTAAGAGCATAGGAACAATCTAGTGCTCTTTTTATAATTTTATTTATTTATTTATTTTTTCCCCCAAAGCCCCAGTAGATAGCTGTGTGTCATAGTTGCACATCCTTCTAGTTGCTGTATGTGGGACGCGGCCTCAGCATGGCCAGAGAAGCGGTGTGTTGGTGCGCGCCCAGGATCCAAACCCCGGCCGCCAGCAGCAGAGCACGCGCACTTAACCACTAAACCACGGGGCCAGCCCCCTCTAGTGCTCTTTTTAAGCAATTTTAATAATTTGACTAAATTTCAAACTTTCAAATTAGGATACCAATTCAATCTAGAGAAACTCAGTCTTATACATAAGGAACCTTCAGTTTTTATCAAACAATAGATTTTAGCAAAACAGGATATTATGAGCTAGTTATCTGAGACAATGCAAATATCAAGGATCCAAAAAACATACATATATTATTACAATTCAAATAGTTTTAAATCATATGGTGGTTTAGTTAGCAGTTTGAAACACATTACTAAGTTTTTTTCTCCTTAATTTAAAGAAAAAGAAAACAAACAGTATATCCTTTTGCAAATTTAACTCTTTCATCATTATAGATTCACAAGGAAAAAATTAAAAATCTGGTTCATAGCCATGTTCACTTCAGCAATTCATCAAGCAGTGTACTTATAATCTGTGTACTCTTCTGATGTATGTAATATTTCAATATCAAAAAATAAAGAACAAGAAACACACTTTTCAACAATACAGTCTAAAAACTATCTAGCTCCACACTGTGGTCAATTAAATGTTTCTAAATGTAGTGCTGCATACACATTCAACATTTACTGAATTGAAAAACAATTTTGAGAATGAAAAGATTTCCATTTGACCTCATTTTGCTGGTTTCTTTGTTCTTTAGTATCCTCCTCCTTTTTTTTT